ACCCAGGGCTGCTTCAGAAAGATCCACAAAGCTGGGCTTTGATGGACAGCAGAAAGTGGCACAATGGAAAAACAAAAGCCTTTCAACCGAGAGCCCTGCTTTGTTCTGCTCAGAACTCTCAGGTCACCCCAGCTCATTCTGGCTGTGGTGCGGATCTTAATTTTTGCTCAGTCAATTTACTTGCAGCTGTCATTCCTTCTGATATTAAAAGTTGTGCTCTTCAAGTGTGGGCATTGAAGGAGAGAGGACTGAGCCCAGCTTGTTGTAAACTAAAAACAGCAGAAACAAGTAAAATCTGGATTGGCTCCGAAGCACAAAAAGTTATTTTCAAAGCCTATAAATTATGACATAGTGATTAACATGTAATTTAAATATATTTAAACAACAATTATATCACATTTCCAGCCCAGCTAATTGGCCTCACAGATGTTCCCTTGGAGCAGCGGTGCCCTTCCAGTGGGAAATGAATGAGGTGCTTTTTATCATGGAAAACAGATAAAAAAGCAAACCAAAAAATGGAAATAGAAACATAAAGAGCAGCCAGTAACCCTAAAAACAATGAATGCTAGAGGTTTTTGCTTAGCTTTTTTTTTTAAATTTTAATGCTGAAAATAAGGAAAAGCATGAAGATTCTCTATTACTGTGATGCTATTTGGCAGTACGTCCAGAGACAGAGTTGGCAGATTGCTGACTGAAAGCCTTGTCAAAACAGGGATGGTGGATGCATTCTAATAGGGCAGAGCTTTGCTGCATGTCCTGGTACAGGCTAAAGGAAAAAGGGCCAGATACATAGATGTAGAGATAGAGATAGAGATAGAGATAGAGATAGAGATAGAGATAGAGATAGAGATAGAGATAGATAGAGATAGAGATATTTATTGCCTTTACAATTGAAGGCCTTCTATCCCAGATAGTGAAAATATACAATGATGTGCCTCTTGATAAAGACTGACTTGTGAGTTATTCCTTTGATCTTTTATCTCTGAAGTTTTATAAAATGCAAACTGTGCAATCAATACAAGCTCTAATTCAAGTTGAGTATTACCCAGTATAGGAACTCCTGCAAGGTAAGAGGCCAAAGGAACACTGGTAATTACTAATATTTGGGAACACCTTGCCTTCTCATATGTCATCCTCATTTTGAAATAAATTTACTCCAGCCTCACTGTACTCATGATTTTCTTCTAGTGCTAACAAATATCTGCTACAACAGTAAATCACAAAAAGCCAAAGTCTGTATTTCTCTAGCATGTTATGGTATCTGTGGCATCTACCTCAATTCCTGTTTCTTTCTTTCTTTCTTTCTTTTTTTGAGATATAATAAATTGTTAATCTTTGTGAGTTGGTGGTTTGATAATGTGGATAAGGCCAGGGTTTGTAACATGATAAAATGCCATGCCACAGGCAGTTGTCATATTTTGTACCTACCCTCTAGCATTTTACAAATCATTATGTTACATTTTTAAATCTTTATTTTGAATTTTATGAACAAGTGTTTTGGCTACTTTTTCTCACTGCTGAGATAAAATATCCCACATCCACAGTTAAGGAAGGAAAGGTTTATTTAGCTCACAGTTAGTGGAGGTTTCAGTCCACACTCAGCTGGCTCCGAGGCACATGGCAGAGAGCAGCCATTCATGATGGGGGAGGAGGGGGAGCAGCGAGGAGCCAGGGGAGGGGCAGCAGCTGCAGCAAGAGGCAAGCCTCTCTTTTCTCCTCACATTGTAGTGCAGATTACCCACCCCAGGGCAGGAATAGCACTCACACCCCTAATCCTAGCAAAGGACCATGAATTAACTGCGAACTCTAGAAGCTGCCCCAAGACTGCATGAGGCTTCTGGGGGGGGGGCACCTAGACACAAACCATAGTAATAAGAATATTGCATTTTGTTTCTTTCTAACATGAAAAAATAAGGCAATATTTAAAATGATCAGAGTACAGATAAGTATTTTAAAATGCTTCTTTGATGAGCAGCTTTGACATCTTGATTGCTTGACTTTATTCATTGTAGCTGATGGACAATTTGAATTTCATACCTCTTCCCTCACACAGTACTGCAGAGCTTACAGTGTTTACATTAGTCATCCTAAGAATAAATTAGAGAAACAAAGATAAAATGAATGACTGAGTTGTCTCACAAATGACAAACTTCACACTACAGTAATGATAACTGGAACTGGAGCGTTAGGCTTCTTCTTCTTCTTCTTCTTCTTCTTCTTCTTCTTCTTCTTCTTCTTCTTCTTCTTCTTCTTCTTCTTCTTCTTCTTCTTCTTTTTCTTATCAGTGTAAGTGTGCAATACACAATGTTTATATTCCTTGTGTGGAGTCGGTCCAAGTGTGCAACACATTTTAATTCCTCTTTTCTCCTTTCTCCTCCCTCTATCTCTTTTTGCTCTTTCTGTTTGAGAGACATCTATGTCCCTACTTTCTACTATCCATTTTTTTCTTTAGCTCCTTATTTGTATTTTAGGTTTCTCATATAAGAGGAAACAGGTCATAGTTAAGCTGGTGTGTTTGATTTATTTTACTTAGCATGATGGTTTCTGTGCGCATCCATTTTTCTGTGAAGGGCTGAAATTTATCACTTTTTATGGTAGAATATCACTCCATTATGTATAAATGCCATGTTTTCTTTGTCCATCTATCTAATGATGGATTTATAGGCTGGCTCCAAGATTTAGGTATTACGAATCGTGCTGCTGTAAATATAGATATAAGGTTCAATCTCCAGTTCTGCATGCCATGCCAGCCCCACCCCTGGGCATGCTGAGCCTGTGACCAAGTCCGGGCATTGTGGTGCAGGCCTGGAATCCCAGTGCTGAGGAGGCTGAAAACAGGAGGATCACTATGAGTCCAAGCTACATAGTGAGACCTGTACCAAATTAAAAAAAAAGAAAGAAGAGAAAAACCAAAAAGATAGATAAACATGTATTCCTGAACATAAGATCTTTAACTCTTTGGGGACACTCTGTGTATAGTACAGCAACAACTCCTATGCATTCCTTCTTAAATATCTCTCTAAAAGCAACCTGTCTGCTCATCAGTGGATAAATGAAGAAAATGAGGTACATATACACAAAAGAATAGTATTTAGTCTTATAAAAGGATGAAATCCTATCACTTAAAACAACAAAGATGGAACTGGATTTCACTGTTTAGTAAAGTAAGCTAGGAAAATAAAAATGACTGCTGTGTGAGCTCACTCTTATGTGTATCCTAAAGAACTGATCTCATGGAAGTGGAGTGGAAATTGATTGGGCTGGGGAGATAGCTCAGCAGCTAAGTCCCTGCCTACCTAGCACAAGGTCCTCAGTTCGATCCCTGGTCCCAAAAAATACCAACAGCGGTTACTGAGATGACTCTGGAGACCATGGGAGAGGCAGGAAGAGTGAGAGCCATCACTGGGCAATGAGCTGCACTTTCAGAGGAACAAGAATTTCTGGTGTGCTAGTATAATGGTGGGAGAAATACAGACAACAGTAACATGCTGTACACTTCAAAAAGCTAGAAGAAAGAACCTGGGATATTTTCACAATGAAGAAATGATGATTTGAAGATAAATAGGTATAACCTTATTTAAACATTGCACAATATATACCTATATCAAAACCTCACAGTACCACTTAATGTATAACATTTTTATGTATCAATTAGAATTAAATTGTTTAAGAAAAACATAAAAAAATATGTATCTTCCACCTTCCATGGTATAATCTTCAGCTGATTGTTAGTTGTAACACTGTGATGAAAATAGATGCATATATTTTTAGGCTATTACAGCTGTTGGGGAAAGTAAAACGTAAACTCACTCTCAGGGTTCTGGACTTAGCCTTTGATTGGTCCAGCAGACTGAGTTCATCACAGGAAAATGTGTCACTCAGCTGTCAGTTACGTAAGCTGGTTCATCTCCATGGAGCCAGAAGCTTCAGAGACTGTCTTCTGACTCTATAAACTGTATGAACATTGACCTGAGAAAATGTTTTCATATTTCATATAAAACATGTAAGTGTCTTAGGGGTTTTAGTCATTTATGTTTACTTAAAAATCAGAATATAGAGGAAGCAAGCTTTGTACAAACAACTACTTTTACCTGTATTATTTGTTATCTACAGTGTGTGTAAAAGTGGTCTTCCACTGGGCACCTAGATTCTTAAAAAATATGTTTAGTATAAAAGAGTGAAATATATGTGTGTGCATATGTCTATTAAGAAATAGAGCTTATATTCACATCGTTCCCTTTCTTTACCCTTAGGAATGTTATCCTTAATAATTTATCACATTATATATCTAGTTTTACTTAGTCCCAAGGATAGACTGTTAAACTATGAAAATGTAAATGTTCTTCCTTTTATAAATTGAAATTTGATTTTTGACTGATTCTCAGCACATAAAAGGAATGTAAAGCATGTTTTCAGGAAAGTAATTGCTTTTTCAAATTTTCGCCTGTTTTTTTTCACTTAAAAAGACTGAAGATACAATATTATGTACTTTTTTATAAAGACAGGCTAACAAGTTTACTCTGCTGAAGTGGTTAAAAAAAATTAACAAGAATAAAAATTTTTTCAGGCAAATTGAAATCTACTAAGTCTTTGTAGACACCTTGTTTTTCTTCTAAAAACAAAGTTAATGCTATAGTATGAAACCATTTAACTTATAAATAAAGAACTGTCCCTCATTCACATCCACAGTTCTTCATACTTTTTCCTTTCCTCTAGTCAGAATATACATTGTCATTTGTTTTTTAATCCACTGAAAGTTTTGCTTATCCAATAGATTTTTCCTCATCAGAAATTTAATTACTGAAGTCCTCAAACATATAAATACATCTGCTGGTAGTCACATTGCGTACATTTTACTGTGCAGGAAAATTCACTGTTGTGCACATTTTCCCCTTTGGTTCATGCAACTCATGTGCCTTTTCTTTTTCTTTTTCTTTTTTAAATTTTTCATTCATGTTGCCTCTTATTATATCCATCATCCCATTTTTCTTTTCTATTAGAGTGAAATTGGACACAGCCCTCCTCCTGCCTACACCCCCATGTCGGGAGTAAGTATTTCATGATCAAACTTCATCTCATAGGATTTTTGGTCTTTGCTTACCATGTTTCTCCCCCTTGTCTCCTCCTGAGTTTCACATTATACCTTTGCCAACAGTGAGTTAAGAACTTCTGCAGTTTGTGTAACTGCCTTTGTAGATGTCTTTTATCTCAGAGGCTCATGCAAAGCTGAGATATCATACAACAGTAGTTTTCAATTTTTATCTGAAAGATTTACCTGGGCTCATAAATTATGCTTCTGAATGTGGAGGTTCTCTTTCCTTCCACGATTATAGGTCATGTGCTAAAATGTCAAAATCTCACGGAAGATCCTTTAGTTAGGAACCAGAGGCTCTAATTCATAGAAGCCACAGAATGGAAATCAATGAGGAAATGTAACCAGGAATACTATATCAGTGTATTTCTCTTAAAGCCATTTATCATGAAAACTTACTTTGAATTCTATAGCCAAAGTAGACCATTGTGGGAAAAGGACATAAAAAAACTTTTTACATTTGATTATATTTTACTTGGTTAATAAAAATTTTTAGCTCAAATAAAATGTTTTAAGTATGCATCTAAATCATTTTTATGTGATTTATGTTCCAAAAAAATTATAAAAATTTTAAATATTTCTAGTGTAACTCAATTTCCTTAGCTATTAGACAAAAGTAATCAATAAATATAGCACTATGACTTTTTTTTCTCTGAAAGGCAAGATTTTATATCTTTTTAGTTAATGGCTAAGGAATAGAGATTTAGGAATACTATTATCCCTAATGAGAACTTCTTTCCATATATATTTCTGCTATTTACAGAACCAATTTGTCTACCGAGATGGAGGGTTCACTGCAGAGCCAGGCATGCCTGTGCCATTCAGAGCCCCGACCAGTACCATCCCGGAGGCACCAGTTGCTCAGGGTGCCACTGCCGAGATCTTTGATGACTCCTGCTGTAATGGCACCCTACGCAAGCCAGTGGCACCCCATGCCCAGGAGGACAGCAGCACGCAGAGATACAGCGCTGACCCCACTGTGTTTGCCCCCGAGAGGAGCCCAAGAGGTGAACTGGATGAAGAAGGCTACATGACTCCTATGCGAGACAAGCCCAAACAAGGTACAGACCAGACGCCCAGAAATGCTCACTATATGGGCAAACAAAAAGTGGAATCTCTGAAGCTGGGTAGGGTGGTAAACACTGGAATCCTGTCTGAACAGAAGGATGGGTCAGAAGGATCGAGAGTTCTATCCCAGGCTGGGCAACTTTGCAAGGTCATATTGCAAAATCGAAGTAAATCATATAAGAGTAGGCATTATCAGACAGTGTCAAGATGGGTAAGACTTCTAAGAACAAAGTAAATCAGACCACAAAGAATCACTGCATTCTCAGATTCCATGACTGAAAACTGAGAAAAAAAAATACTCAGAGAGGGTTGTTGTGCCCTAGCTTTGTCACTGCAGTACTAAATTTTAGTATAGACATCCCTACATTTCAATTTGAAAGTTTCAGGATTCTGGTAAAAAAAAAAATAAATAAAAATAAATTATGTTTCCCTTATAAATTCTTTCAGATTTTATTTTTCAAATTCAAAACTGCTACTAACTATAGTGTTTACCCTACCATTGTAGGAGAAGTAATAAAAAACAGGGTAGAAGACAAGGAAGACTATATAATACAAATTAAAGGATGTGAATTTTAGTATGAAAATTGTCCTTTCTCCTTCATATGATTCTTTCGAGAATGAAATAGCAGTGTCTTGTACATTATTGAACTGCATATTGATTGCATATTCATGGTTACTTTGAGCTTGCACAACAAATGCTAAGTACTGAACTATAAGCAGTTTATCTACAGTGAGGGAAAAGTAACCCCATTTGATGGGATTACTCTATGTACATGTTGGGCTAAGAATAGGGGACAGAAAATTTACATTGTGCTCTCTTTATGCCCTGACTCCAAAATAGGAACAGCTCAGGTTTTCATGTATATAATGGAACAGAGGACAAAGAGAGTCAGATAGATAGATAGATAGATAGATAGATAGATAGATAGATAGATAGATGTGTGTGTGTGTGTGTGTGTGTGTGTGTGTGTGTGTGTGTTTATCTTCTGTGGTGTGAGTTACAGGAGACAGAATTAAGTATGAGGAAGGTAGCACTGATTACCAGCATTATTATTTTTTTAATAATCTCAGGCTATTATCTATACTTTAAATGGATTTGTTAGATTGAACCATACCAAAAAAAAAAAAAAAAAAAAAAGGCACCAATTGGCTTAAACTTACAAAATAATTATTTTATATAATTTAAACTAGTGGTTTGCTCTTTTGTCATTATGATTGGACATAGAGAATAGATACTTTAAAGATGCATTATTGTTAAGAAAGCACGTATGGAACACCGTGCAATTCAACTGGAGGCATGAAAGTTTCTGTCAGATTTGTTCTATTTCTTGATTTTTTTTTTTCCCTTAGATGATTCCTTTCTTTGTGTAAAATCTTCCTGGGGAGAGTTTCAATCAAATTCCATTACCAGTGGTACAAGCCTTCCTGGCAAGCCAAGTAGATTAAAAACACTCTTCTTTCCTTCATCCAGTTCTCTTGGCATAGGAGTAAGCCATAAACTCTTGGTTTCTTTAAATCTTAAAAAAACTTGAGATTCATCAACATTGAAAGGCTATTTAACCCTTGCAATATTAATTTCTATAATAAATTATTGACTCTTGAAAAACAAAGACCCTTATGTAAGGTAGAGACATGTGATCAAAAAGAACATGCTAGAGAATGAGTACCCTGATCCTGACCTTGTCAGTGCCTTTGATTTATCATTAATATTTTTGGCCCATGTGCTCATTTTATCATGACCATTGACAATCTACAAGCCATTTCTGCTGAGAATTCATGAAAACAAATCTGTGGATTTCTAATTCTAGACAAAGAAGACAATCATTGTACACTACCTTGAGCTCATTGTTTCTCCCAAAGTAGATGTTACCTGTTATTTTTGTATCCCTTCAGAATACCTGAATCCTGTGGAGGAAAACCCTTTTGTTTCTCGGAGAAAAAATGGAGACCTTCAAGCTTTGGATAATCCTGAATATCACAAGGCTTCCAGTGGGCCACCCAAGGCAGAGGATGAGTATGTGAATGAGCCACTGTACCTCAACACCTTCACCAACACCTTGGGCAATACCGAGTACCTGAAGAACAATATACTGCCTGTGCCAGAGAAGGCCAAAAAAGCGTTTGACAACCCTGACTACTGGAACCACAGCCTGCCACCTCGGAGCACCCTCCAGCACCCAGACTACCTGCAGGAGTACAGCACAAAATATTTTTATAAACAGAATGGACGGATCCGGCCCATTGTGGCAGAGAATCCTGAATACCTCTCTGAGTTCTCCCTGAAGCCAGGCACTGTTCTGCCTCCTCCACCCTACAGACACCGGAATACTGTGGTGTAAGCTGAGCAGTAGTTTGAAAGTGGAAAGACACACCCACTCCATTTCCCCACCCCCTCTTTTTCTCTGGTGATCTTCCTTCTACCCCCAAGGCCAGTAGTTTTGACACTTCCCTATGGAAGACATAGAGATGCAATGATAATTATGTGCTTATCTAACTTGAACCTTAGAAGGAAGGACAGAAAGTGAAAGACAGGAGGAACCAGTTTCTTCTTTTCTCTGCATGAGTTGCTCAGGAGAGTGGGACAGCCAGAGAAGAATCAAAAAATATCAGATAATACTGCCTACTGTCAAACTAGTTTGTAGCCAACCAGTGTACCTTTTTCCCTTCTTTTCTTCTTTCCTTCTTTCCTTCCTTCCTTCCTTCCTTCCTTCCTTCCTTCCTTCCTTCCTTC